TCGCTTCATATAATGCTTCATTGCAAATTTCCAATAATATTGGTTCTATAATTTCGCCCAATTTTTTATAGATTTTTCCTGGGGGACCATCCCGTCCTGGTGTCTTTTTATTCTTGAGTCTTAAAATTGCCATTCTCAATTCTTCTGATGTTATTTCTTTATTCACCAGTTCCCTTTTTTCCTCCCCTAATGGTATGATCTCTTCTTCCATTAAATAATTACCAATCTTCTCCATTGATATTTCTTCTTTTTTATAAAGAACTGCATAGTAATCTTGTGCTATTTTCTTTTTCTCTTCCTCATTGTTTTGAATAGTCCCCATCACATCCTCTAGTTGTTGGATAATCCAGCCTTCTTTCTCTTTTTTCAATTTGTAGGCTAGCCACCCTCTGGTTTTATTAGCGTGTCCGAAGTAAAATTGTTTAGAGTGTTTTAAGTTTTTTACATTTCCTCTTACTCTAATAAATTTAGTTTATGTCTCACAAGGGTCAAATTCTCTTTAACTAATTCATCTCCTGGTTTTATTTGGAGTCACTTCTCCAAATTTCCGATTTCTTCCAATAAGGTATTGTGCATCTTCCATTTTTCCCTATTTTTCTTTACATTGTAGGCTTATGTAGGCTTTCATAGTATCCCATGTAGGCTTTCATAGTATCCCATAAATTTGTTAGAAGTGTGTTATTTTTTATTTTCTTTAAAGAATAATCTCAACTCCTTCATTATCCTTTCTATATAATCCTTTTCATTTAATATTTGAGGGTTTAACATCCATCTTCTAATTCTTTTTGGGGGGGCCTTTCCATGTTACCTCAAGGGGATTGTGATCTGCCCACGTATTTGGGGAAATCTGAATTTTTTTCTATTCCTAATCCTACTTCTCTATTCATCCACAACATATCAATTCTGGACCAAGATGCATGAGGGTTAGAGTAAAGGGTATATTTATTTTCTTTTGAATGAAGATTTCTCCACAAATCTATTAAATTTAGTTCATCTACCATATTAAAAAATGTTTTGGATAATATATTTCTTTTCTTATTATCTTTACCACTGGCATAGTCTTTTTTGGTATCTACTATCCCATTATAGTCGCCCACAATACATATATTCCTATAGCCTGTCATAATTATCTTTTCATGTAATTTCTTACAATAATCCCCCTGATTTTTATTAGGCGCGTAAATAACTACTAACAAAATTGATATATTCCCTCTCTTTATTTCCACCATTAAAGTTCTTCCTTTTGAGTCCGCATAGATTTGTTTGGCTATTATTCCTCCCTTAATATATATCACCACCTCTTTCTTTCTTTTCTCTGATAAAGCTGTATACAATTTCCGTAGCTTATTGTATTCCAAATATTTTTCATCCTGCTTCGAAATATGTACCTCCTGGAGGCATATTATACCTGCTTTTTGCTTGATTAACTTTGTGAATATTTGTCTTCTTTTTGTTGTTGCATTTACTCCATTTACGTTTATTGATATGAGCTTCCGGTCTTCCATTCTTTGATCTATCTACCTAGTGTTAATATTTATTTGCCCTTCTAACCCTTTGAGTTCTAGTTTTACTACCTTTTATTTCTTGGAGGTTTTTTCTTCCTTTTTCTTCTTTTCTGGGGCTCCTTCTTTAGCTTCTCATTGGTGTAACAATTCTTCTTCCTGGCTTATGGTCTCCACCTCCTCCTTACTGCTCTGCTCCTCTTCATTTCACATCAGTTGATCAAGGAAATCTTGTGCCATCACTAAACTGTCTATTTTTATCTTCTTGCCTTGCCATGTGACAAGCATCCCTTCCAGAAGTATCCATCTAAACATGATATTTAGTTTATTCAGTTGTATAGCCAGGAAGTGATAGTCTTTACAATACTCTCGAACTCTTCTAGGAACTTGTTTCAAAGTGATGATTTCCTTTTCCTTGTAAATCATAGGTTCTTCTCGAGTTATATTGTATATTATATCATGAACCATCTTTCGAACAAATCTGATATGGACCTCTCTGGGCAGTTTATGGTGTCTAGCGTAATTCATTTGAATTCGATATACTTCGTCTATTTCAGTCATGATTTCTTGTTTATCCCTCTGCAAAGATTCTGGTATAATCTCTGCCATGATCTGTCCAAGATCTTCATCTTTTGCCTCAATCACATTTTGGAATCTCAAATAGAACGATGCCCTATCCATTTCCAACTGAATCACAGAGTCCTCAAGGTCTTTATTTAGAGCCATCATCTTCTGATCTACCTGGTCTAATTTTTTTTCAGTTTGCTCAGCTTTAGCGTCTACAATTTTTATTTTTTTGTTCATTCTTCTGAATTGCTTCCTGGATTGAGTTCATTTTACTATCTAATTTTTGAATATCGATTTTCATTTCACCATGGTTGCTGAACATAGTTTCTTGCATCTTTACCATTGTTTCCTGAATCAACTTCAGGGTAGCTTGCATTGTTTGCATATTTGGCGCCATAGTAGACTTTTCCACCTTTGAAAGCCCCTCAGTCGATATTTGGTTTGAAGGGGAAGCCATTATTATCGTTGGATTCGATGCTGTTTTTTTCCCTGCCTTTAAGGTTGTTGTTGTAAGACTGGTCATCTCTTTCAATACTCTGCTTTGCTCTCCCAAAATTTTATAGATATTTTTCCACATTGTCATCAACCAAATACTATCTACTTGTTGTTATTGTTGTTGTTCTTGTTTTTTGTTATTATTATTAATATAGCTATAAATATACAAATATGCAGGTAAAATAACAATATCAACCCTCCATATTAATTAATCAGACTATCTTAGGTCAATGAACAAATATATATGTATTTTAGAATCAAAACTAGCAATTAAGATTAGGATATTAGCAATCAAAAACTATATATCTCAAGTTAATTCAAAGATATAAATCTCAATTTATACTAAGTAAAGCAAATTAATTTCAATTATCAATACTTCATATATTCACAAAATCTATAATATCTATAATATTTATAAACTGTTTTCACTCTTTATAAGTTTTATCAATATTACTACTGTCTAATATTTGTAATTAATATAATAATTAGTACCAGATATAAAAATAATTAAATCTTCTTGATTAATTCACAGTTATTCACTTGATCACTAAGAAATTATAAAATACATTAAAAATACATTCTTATAGTATCCCAAATATGTATCAGAGCATTTCACACCAGATGTTTCTGGAAATATGTATGCGTCTTAATTTTTCCTTCCCAAAGAAATGCATGCCATCCCAAATGAAGGTCATGGCCTTCCAATGTTAATATTCTCTTGTTAATTAATTGTACCCAATCTTTTAACCAAATTATTGCCCGCCACCTGATAATATAATTCCCAATCAGGTAGGCCAAAGCCTCCTCTGGTTCTGGAGTCTTGCAGAAGTTTATGTTTTATCCAGGCTGTTTCCCCAGCCAAATGAATTTATCTATCATTCTATTTAAATGTTTGAAAAATGGTTTCCCTAATCTAATTATTATCGATTGAAATAAATATAACAATTTTGGTACGTTCATCTTTATTACAGCTATTCTACCTACTAAAGATAGCTGGCCCATATATCCAAATCTTTTTGTAATTGTTGAATCAATTTATCGTAATTATCCTTCTTTATAGTAGAGCATTTTGCCGTAAGCCAAATTCCTAAGTATTTCACCTTTTTGGCAATTTGAATCTCTAATTTCCTTTCCAATTCTTCCTCCTGCCTTTTAGTACAATTCTTCATTAATAATTTAGTTTTTTCCTTATTTATTTTAAACCCTGCTACATTACCAAATTCTTCAACTTCATGCATCAAGATGGTTCCAGTCTCCAAAGGATCTTCCATAATAAATATCAGATCATCTGTGAATACTTGAACCTTATATTCTTCCTGTTTGATTTTCAATCCTTTAATTATTTGATTTTTTTCTAATGTGTGTTAATAGTATCTCCAAGGATAATATAAATAGGAGGGGTGACAAGGGACATCCCTGTCTTACCCCCTTAGCTATATCAATCCTCTCTGTCATTTCCCCATTCATTATTATTCTGGCCGATTGTTTCAAATAAATTGCTCTAATTAAATCCATAACTTTCACCCCAAATTTCATAATTTCCAATTGGTTAATCAGAAAGTTCCAGTTTAAATTATCAAATGCTTTCTGGGTGTCTACAAACATCAATGCCAGCTGCTTATCCGGATGGGCCTCATAGTATTCTAATATATCCAGAATTGTCCGTGTATTATTTTTTATATATCTATTTGGAAGAAATCCATTTTGGTCCGAATCAATAATTTCATTTAAAAAATTTTTGGCCCTTTCAGCTATTATTGTTACAAAAATTTTATAGTCTATGTTAAGTAACGAGATTGGCCGGTAGTTCTTGATCTGCTGTGTGTTTATAGAATCTTTTGGGATGAGTGATATCAATGCCTCTCTCCATGTCTTTGGTAATTTCGATTGCCCTAAGGGTTCAGCAATAACACTTCCTGTTGTGAAAAGATCGAGGAAGGACCCAATAACATACAAAGACACTATTCTGGATTGAATCAGATCATCCTTTATTTACAGATGTTTCTCTATAGAGGTATCAGCAACAACTGCAGGAGTGACTTGGGGCGACCTTAAGTACCCTAGGGGCGGAGCTTCAGGTAAGGAGTGCCCAAGGGAAGGGGAGTGGGCCAGAGGTGCTTGAGTTAACCCTTGAGGTGCCAGGCTAGGGGGAGTATATTGAGCAGGTATGACATTTATATGTGACATCCCCCTCTAAATGTCTAACCTGCAAGTGTACTGCTTGCTGTGGTTGGATGTCGCTAAAGTGAATGCCAAGTTTGGATGTCAAATAAGAGCATTGATTGATTGATGAGTATATCAGTATGGTTTGTTCTTTGGTGTTTGGGTGTATGGTGGGATGTGATTAAAGTAGGGGAGAGTTGTTGTGTAGTGTGATGTCTATGTGTGTGATACTCTGTCCTACTGCGTCTGATTGTTAATGGCGGCCTTTTGTCTTCAATAGATGGTTATTGGGTATGTGGGTTCGGCCCAGATGCTGGAGAGTAGGTCGTCAAACCAAGTTAGGTTGTTGGCTGCCTTGGATAGGCATATGTATTCAGCTTCGGTGGTGGACATCGCTACTAAGTTCTGCTTGCCCGTGTACCAATGTACAGGACTGCTGTTCAGGAAGAATACATACCCTGATGTACTTTTTCTACTTTTTGCATCTCCGGCCCAGTCGGCATCCGCATAGCAGGTGAGTGTTGGTTGTTTGGTTGCATCCGGTTCCAGCCGCAGGTAGGCTTCTGAACTATGCTTCAGGTATCTGAGTACCCACTTGATAGCTTCCCAGTGATAAGTGGTTGGGTTACTCACATGTCTGGATAATAAATTCACTGGCAGGGCAATGTCTGGCCAAGTCCAGTTGGCAATGTACAGGAGGGATCCAATGGTGGACCTGTATAGCGTATTGTCCTTGAACTCTGGAGCCTCACTGTACATATTTTTCAAGAAGTCTATTTGCATGGCGTGTCGCTTGGTTTGGCTTCGGCCATGTTGCACTTGTGGAGCAGTTCTGTGATTTTCTCCTTTGGTGATAGGCGAAATCCCTTGGGCATCTGGTTGATCTGTACACCCAGGTATTTACTTACTTTCCCTAGTGACTTCAGGGAGAACTGTTCGCCCAGTTTGTCTGCAAAGATGTCGCAATCCCTCTTGTGCTTGCCGATGTAGAGGATGTCATCTACGTAGATAAGTACATACTCTGGGAAGTCGTTGCTTTTACTGGTGAAGAAGCAATTGTCTGCGGGCGTTGCTTTGAACCCTAAAGACTCGAGTACCTTAACCAGGCACTCGTACCATCGCTTTCCGGATTGTTTTAGGCCATATAAGCTTTTGTTGAGTATCCACGTGTCTCCTTTGTGAGTGTCTTTGCTGGGAGGGGCCTTAGTGTAGATTTCTTTATCCAGCTTGGCGTGCAGGTAGGCAGTTTGTACATCGAATTGATGTACTTCCAGGCCTAAAATGGATGCAATGACAAAGGCGCTCTTGACGCTTTCGGCCCTCACTGTTGGGGAGTATGTCTCGGTGTAGTCCTCTGGGTACCTTTGGGCGAACCCCTGGGCTACCAGTCGTGCTTTGTATAAGGCCTTGCTGCCTTCCAGTGTTTTGATCTTGAATATCCATCTGGTCCCTATGGGGTTTTTGCCCTCTGGTACCTTAGCGGGTGTGAAAAACGTTCAGCTCCTTGAGGCTGTGCATCTCCTTTTCCATGGCAGCCTCCCATTTGGACCTTTCTTCTTTGGGGAGTTTGATCACCTCGTCATGAGAATTCGGTGTGATGGGACTGGGATGTAGGTGCATCACGTAATCCTCGAGTCTCTTGGGCATTTGGTTCCTGGTAGTTCTGACTGGTCTGTTGGGGGAGGACTCGGCATCATGCAGATATCTTGCTTCCTTTTGGGTGAGTGAGTTTACCTTCAATTTGGGGTGGCCTTCTTTCCACTCATTGATCTTGACCTCCTGGCGTTTGGGTTTGACTCCGTCTTTGTGTGTGCTATTGTGTGTGTTTGTGTTGTCTTGGCTTTGTGTGTCATGAGGTGTCTCTTGCTTGTGGTATATTTCGTTCAGGTGTATTTTGGACCAGTTGGTCTGCTCATGGAACGTGGCTGTCCTGGATATTATGAATCGGTGGTTGTTATCTGTGAATCTAAACCCTTTGGTCCCTGGCTCATAGCCCATGAATCTTAACCTTTTGGACACCTTGTCTCCCTTGCAGCGCAGCTGTTTGGGGATGTGCACATCGGCGGTGACTCCGAATACATGCAGGTGTGCGATTCTTGGCTTCTTGCCATACATTAACTCATAGGGTGTCTTGTTGATCACGCTGGACCATAATCTATTGAGGTTATAGTTGGAGTACACCAGGGCTTCGGAACAAAAGTGTTGGCCAAGCCCGGCATCTTCTAGGGTGCATCTGACCATGGTCTGTAGTGTGGAGTTTCTTCGTTCTACGACCTCATTTTGGAAGGCCGAGAATGGGGAGGAAGTAAAGTGTAGGATGCCCTTTGACCTCAGCCAGTGTGTGAAGTCCCTGGACAGGAATTCTGACCCTCTGTCTGTCATTATTTGTTTTATTCTGGAGTTATTTTGTACTTCTACCCGTTTGTAGAACTCTTTGAACTTCTGATATGTTTCACTCTTGTGTTTCAAAGTATAGACGAAGCCGTAGCGACTGTAGTCGTCTACTATGGTGAGGAAAAATCTTTTGCAGTATTTTACAGATGGCCTTAGGGGCCCTACTAGGTCCATGTGTACTAAATCGAATGCGCGGTCAGTGGTGCGTGTAGCTCTCTTGGGTTTGGGTGCGACCTTGAGTTTTTAACACTTACACACTGAGCAATCGAGGTAAGTTTTGCAGTTTTTTATTTTGATGCCTTCGGTACAATCAGTCATCTTTTGTATGACTGGGAAGCTGGCATGTTCTAGCCTGCGGTGCAGTAGGTGAGCACAATTATCATGAATGGGCTTCCTTGTGGTGATCTTCCCTATGTTGTGTGTGCAAGTGGTTTTGTCTGTTTCTGCTTATACACTGGTGTTAACGCTGGGGGTGTCAGTGCCTTCTACGTGTAGGTAAGGTAACCCCTTTCTGACTATGACTTTCCCTATGTTCTCGTTATATTTGTACATGAATAATATGTACACCTTTGAATAATATTTCTATTCCTGACTCCTTGCTAAGCTTCAGCGCTGCTAGGATGTTGTGGGGTATCTCTGGGACTAGCAGCACCCCCTCTATCTTCCCTATCCCTGGAAGAGTCATGTTCCCTTTTCCTGTCACCTGCACTTCACTCTGGTTGGTTACTTTGATTAGAAAGTTCTCCTCTGTGAATGAGGAGAGTAGCCTCTTGTAGATGGTGTGATTGGTGGCCCCGGAGTCAATGAGCCACATGATGCCACCTTGGTCTAACTTGGGGGTTTGTGAATGTCCCTCTATCCCATACATGGAACCAGTTCTGCTGTCCCTGGAGCTGTCCCTATTCCCCCTTCTGTCCCTTGGGGTTGGGGAGTCCCTGCACCTATGCCTGTGGTCTGGCGGGCACCTATCTTGGTATCTGTTCCTGTGCTCACGCCTATCTCTCTCTCTAAAGTTTCTGGGGCAATCCCGCTTATAATGGTCTCTGGATCCACAACTGTAGCACTCTGTTGGATCCTGTGGCCCGTCTTCGAATGCTACTCTTTTTGTGTGTCTGGGTTCCCTACATGTTGGCTGGCGGCTTTTTCTCAGGTTGTCTTCTGCTATTAATTTGTTAGATAGTCTTTCTATGGATAGCTGGCCTAGGCTGTGAGTGTCTAGGTGTGCAATGAATGTGTCCCAGGTGGAATCTAGGGAGTTGATTATCACACTCTTCATGGTTTGTTCTGATACAACCTCCCCCCTTAGGTGCAGCTCTGCCCTGATAGCATTTAGTTCTAAAAGGTGTTCTCCCATGGGGACCCCAGGCCTTATTCTGGCTGAATAGAAATCCTTGGAGATCCTAGTTGTGGTAGCTACGCTTTCGCTGTAGAAAAGCCTAAACATCTTTTGTGTCAACTCAGATACAGTTAGATAATGCTCAATACTGGGGTACATGGGTGGTGAAATGCTGGAAATTAGTAGGTAGAATGCCCTGTGATGCATACAATCCTGCTCGAGAGTCCAGGGCTTCTCTGGGGGGTTAGTTATGAATAACAATAGATTTTCCTTTAAGAACACTACCTGGAGTTGCTGGTACCACTCCAGCAGATTAGATCCATTCATTTTTAGCTTTGGAAAGTCTTTAGCTAAATTCCCTGCGTTAAAGTTCATGTTACTTACAGCAGGTGTCTGTCCCTGATGTTGAATGTGTGGATATCCACAGTATGGCAAGGGGATGCTTGTAGGCAATTTAAAAGTCCCTCTATGCGTTTTTTTTCTTCTTCTCTCCATAGGCTGCTCTGCGCATGCGCAAAGTCCATTCCGGTCATGGAGTCATCGGCGAAGGATCTTGCTGTGGCCACTCCGGTGAAAGGCCTCTCCTGGTTGTGCTGGCCTCCGCTCTGTCTCCGAGGGTCCAGCGGCGGTCCGGAGATGTCCGAAGAGTCGCTCTCTCTCTGTGATGGAGTCCGGGTTCCCTGGACGTGCTCGTGGTGGCAGTGAGTGCTGGCTCCGTTCTTCACGCCATGGTGCGCTCGGTCTGGATCGTGTGCGTGGTTGGGCCCTTGGGGTGCGCGGTGGCGTCGCTGGGCTGTCGGCAGTGTCCTCGTCCCTCGATCGGGTGGCCGAGGTCTCCTTTCTCTGCTCCTTGCGCCCTTTACTGTCTTGCTCGATTTTCTCTGCACCTCCAGTTGCGCCCCAAATGCGGCAGTGAAAGTCTTTATGGCTTCTTCTATCTGCCGTCGTTTGGGGTGTCACGGTGTCCAACCTGGTATCTTCATCCCTAAGCTACCCCCTTCTTCGCTGCTTTGGGGGCTGCAGGTTTTTCGCGCCGGCTATTTTGAATCTTTAAATTTGATTGGCTGGTGGTCGGCCATCTTGGCGGACCATGTGGTCAAAGATGGCCACTGTTCAAAATTTGGCGCGGTATCGATTCCCTCGGTTTCGCCGTGGGATTCGATTTGGGCAGGTTTGCTTACCGGGTGGGTGTCTCTTGGCTTCTTCGAGCTTTTGCCGTCGTCTTTGGTTGCCTCGCAGTCCTGGAATAGTTTCCGGATCTTGCTTATGAGGTCTTCGTTGGCTGCAGTCGATCCCAGTAGGCTCAGTATCTCGCGCCTGAGCTTATTGCGGTCTGGGTGATCAGCTTCCTCGTCGCTTAGACTCTCGACCCCGTCTTCATCCTCGGAAGTGGAAATCTTGGGGTCTGCCTTGCCCTCGGGCCTCTCAGGTGTTCCCGCCAGGGATCGCCATCCTGGGGATGTAGTTCCTCCATCCTTTTTGTATCTGACCTAATGTGTGGTTTCTTCTTTTCTTCACCAGGTATTTGTTTCTTGGGCATGTCTTCTTGTTATTGGTCCATTAAACCATCCTCTGCTACCATCTTGTTGTGAAAGGATCGAGGAAGGACCCAATAACATACAAAGACACTATTCTGAATTGAATCAGATCATCCTTTATTTACAGATTTTTCTCTTTACAGGTATCAGCAACAACTACTCTGCAGGAGCAACTTGGGGCGACCTTAAGTACCCTAGGGGCAGAGCTTCAGGTAAGGAGTGCCCAGGGGAAGGGGAGTGGGCCAGAGGTGCTTGAGTTAACCCTTGAGGTGCAGGCTAGGGGGAGTATATTGAGCAGGTATGACATTTATATGTGACACTTCCAGAGGTCCCTGTATCTTTTTATAAAACTCAGAGGGGATGCCATCAGGTCCTGGTGTTTTATTATTTTTTTGTTTTTAAATAGCCACCTTCATTTCCGCCATAGTAATCCTGCTGTTTAACATTTCTTTCATTTCCTCTTTAAATTTTTCTTTATATCTTCCTCCTCC